GTACACATTATTATGGAATATATTTCCCTCTTCAACTGTTGTCTATGAACAGAGCCAGGGAAGGTATACTGCTCTGCTGCTGGTGGTATGCACATCAATTGAGCGAACCTATTGTCATTCTGAGACAGCACTGAAAGCCGTCGAGACGAGCCTGTATGCAAAGTGTAACACATCATTTTCCTTCGGCTGTTCAAATAAGCACATCTAAGAAGAGCGTTTTCGCCAACATCTTTCAAGTATAAGGTTATTCAAATATGACAATCTGGTCAAGCCGCCATTTTAACAGTTAAGTCCCTTTAAATGCGCCTTCTAATGGTAATCATCTTGCTTTGGGTCTCGTTTCCAATTTTATTTCAATAGCACAAGCACTACCCACGTAACCATAGGTACGTTATTTCGCCTTTTTGGCTATATACGGCTCAACAATGGCTATATCAGTGTTTGTAAGTTCTGATGAGGCCCTTTTATAGCCAAAAAGGCAAAATATCGTGCCTATGGTTACTTGGGTAGTCGAGTTTTCTTTCTTTAAATTGGCAGCCTGGAGTTTGTTTACCTTCCTCCGCGCTACTTTTGCCCACAAACTGTGCAATTCGAATAACCTTAGTCTTGAGAGATCTTGGTTTTCTCTTCATTTTACTGCTACACACCCGCCCTGAAATGAATGTCGTCATTAATGCAATGCTTTGGGATCATTTCGGAAGCTGTGAACAGGCGCATGCGTCCTGCAGGGTAAACAAAACAGCACTGCTGCTGATGGGCGGAGGACCTTACACGTTTATTACGAGAAAAATGCTACAAGTTGAAATGCTCCATTGTGGGGCGTAATACTTTCCTATTCGCAAGTTTTATACCAGAAACAGTAATACCTATTAGGAAAAATTGCACAGATTTTTTCTTACTTAGAAGAGTGTTTTTTGGAAATACCGTGCCGATTCAAATTTCGGACACTTAAACTCGAATTTCGGACACTTTTAAAAGTTGATTATCTCGGTCGAATATGATCCACATGCCTTGTAAATTTAAAATTTTTTTGATTAGTGCCCTCCACGATCATCTAACATTATTACTTTGTTTCTAACTGGATGTAATATTTAATTAAAAATGAAAGTGTCCGAAATTTGAATCGTCCGAAATTTGAATCGGAACGGTACACTTAATTCAGTTTTAAGCGATTTCAATTGCAAGACAGCAACAGCATTACAGATTTTTGAATTTTTTGTGATTTTTTCAAAGCAAGTTGCATTAAATTTGGTTGCAAATTGAGATCACACGATTAAAAATTGAGGCGAAGAAAAACGTGCGAAAACATAATTGAGTGTAAATAATTTAAGAAAATTCATGGTATATAGTATGAACAAAAAAAATGGTTTCCGTAGGGGTAAGGGAACGACTGTCTCGCGTTGCTTTCCACAGAAATCCAGTTGGCTTTTGCTAAAAAAGAGCAAATGGCTTCTGTGTTCTTGGATATTAAGGGGGCTTTTGATTCAGTATCGGTTGAAGTCCTTTCAGACAAACTCCACGCTTGTGGCCTTTCCCCATTAATTAATAACTTTTTGTACAATTTGCTGTCAGAGAAACATATGAGCTTTTCTCATGGAAACTCTACAGCTTCTCGATTTAGTTACATGGGTCTCCCCCAGGGCTCATGCTTAAGCCCCCTTTTGTACAATTTCTATGTCAGAGAAATTGACAACTGTTTAAGTGACAACTGCACGTTGAGACAACTTGCAGATGATGGCGTAGTGTCTATGACAGGGCCCAAAGGGGTCAACCTGCAAGGACCCTTACAGGATACCTTAGACAATTTGTCTACTTGGGCTATCCAGCTAGGTATCGAATTCTCCACGGAGAAAACTGAGTTGGTCGTTTTTTCTAGGAAGCATAGCCCAGCACAACCGAAGCTTCAACTTTTGGGTAAGCCGATCACTCATTCCATGTCTTTCAAATATCTTGGGGTCTGGTTCGATTCAAAATGCACCTGGAGATCCCACATTGAGTATCTGAGACGAAAATGCCAACAAAGGATCAATTTTCTCCGAACAATTACCGGAACGTGGTGGGGAGCTCATCCGCAAGATCTTCTAACATTGTACCGGACAACGATTTTATCGGTTTTGGAGTACGGTAGTTTTTGCTTCCAGTCGGCGGCTAAAACTCACATCATCAAACTGGAACGTATCCAGTATCGTTGTCTTCGTATCGCGTTAGGATGCATGCACTCGACTCATACGATGAGTCTCGAAGTGTTGGCGGGCATGTTGCCACTATCGGATCGGTTTTCGGAATTGTCCCTCAGGCTCCTCACCCGTTGTGAAGTTATGAACCCACTGGTAATCGAAAACTTTGAGAAGCTTCTTGAGCTAAACCCTCAAACTCGTTTTATGTCATTGTACTACGTGTACATAACTCAGGATGTCAGCCCTTCACAGCATAATCCCCATCGTGTATGCTTCTCCGACTTCGGCAATTCAGTTAGTTTTGATTTATCTATGACGCGGGAGATTCGTGGAATCCCAGAACATTATCGTTCCATGATTGTTCCGTCAATTTACGCTGCAAAGTTTGGCCAAGTTGATTCCGCAAGATCGTTCTTCACAGATGGATCACTAATAGAGTCGTCCGCTGGTTTTGGTATTTTTAACGAATTTCATAGCGCCTCTCGAATGCTTCAAGCTCCTTGTTCCGTATATGTTGCTGAACTGGCGGCAATATATTATACGCTAGAAACGATCGCCTCACTTGCACCAGATCATTATTTTATTTTTACGGATAGTCTCAGTTCTGTCGAGGCTATTCGCTCTATGAGGCCGGTAAAGCACTCCTCGTATTTTCTCATGAAAATACGAGAGCTTTTAAGTGCTTTATCTTTAAGATCTTTTGTCATCACCTTTGCATGGGTCCCATCTCATTGCTCGATTCCGGGCAATGAGATGGCTGACTTACTTACTAAGGTGGGCGCTATGCAAGGCGATATTTACGATCGACAAATCGCCTACAATGAATTTTTCTTCATTTATCGTCAACAGTCGCTCACCAGCTGGCAAAATAAATGGAGTGAAGGAAGTTTGGGACGATGGCTATTCTCGATCATCCCTAAGGTGTCGAAGAGTCCTTGGTTCAAGGGGTTGGATGTGGGTCGAGACTTCATTCGTCTGATGTCTCGCCTCATGTCCAATCACTTTTCGTTAAACGCTCACTTGTTTCGTGTTGGGCTGGGAGACAGCAATCTCTGTGAATGTGGACAAGGTTACCAAGACGCCGATCACATCCTTTGGTCTTGTGCTGAGCATCGCGGAGTCAGATCTGAACTGTACGATTCCCTTCGGGCTCGAGGTAGACAACCTAATGTTCCAGTTCGGGATATTTTGGCTAGACGTGATCTGGAGTTTATGAAACTCATATATGTTTACTTTAAGAATACTAACCTTAGATTGTAAGTTTGATTAACCTTGTGTTTAGTTTGTGTATTGTGCGTGTAGTTTTTTTTTTATGTTTGTCTTCAAGATGAATAGAAATAAGTTCATGTTTTAGGATTAATTAAATATTTGTATAATAAATCATATTTCAAACCTCCTTCTCCCTTTCCCCACCCAAAAATTGTAAATCTCCACTAACCTCGAGACGACCGCGAGTAATCGGTTCAATTCCTTTAACTCTAGATTTAAGACATTAATCATGTATAATGAAAATGATAACTCGGCTCTGTAAAGTTTATTCGATTGAGCCTGTACAAATAAATTAATATAAAAAAAAAGTATGAACAAAAACAGAATTTCAGACTTTGCTCTCTTCTATTTCCATGAATCTTTGCAAAATTATTCGCTATGAGCAATCATACAAAATTGGGCAGAAATTCGGTCATTGTGACTCGCGTCTTATTTTTCAAAATGGCATTTTCGATATTTTTCAATATGATTTATGTATCATGTATCGTTTAATCGGAATGACATCTGAGACAAAGTTGTAGGGGAATAAATGGCCTTTTCACAAAAATATATACATGGTAAAAATATATACATGGTAAAAATATATACATGGTAAAAATATATACATGGTAAAAATATATACATGGTAAAAATATATACATGGTAAAAATATATACATGGTAAAAACACAAATGTTGCAATGTAGCAAAAATATTAACAGCAAAAACAAAGTGTTTTTTAATTCATGAACCAGGCATCGAAGGGCGAACGTTGTGAAGTGAAATGCTAAGAAAAGTGTCTCAGCAATCCATAAAAAACAGTCAGAAAAATCACAAGAATAATCAGGAAAAGCCATAGTCAGAGAAATCAAACCTTTCTAATGATTTTTCCTTCTTATCTTTCACTAGTAAAAAATCCAAAAATCTCTTACTCCTATTGAGTTATGAACAAAAAAACTAACGGCCCGGTAAGCGTTGGTTCAACTTCACTGATTTTTTTTATAAAAAAAATCCCTTACAATCGTGTTTCCTGATCTTCCTTGCCATTTTTCTCCACTGTAAAAATTTTCGTGGAAATCTTTTTTTCAGATTATGTTTTTGATTGGTTGCTGAGATACTTTTCTTGCCATTTCACTATTCAGCGATCGTTCTACGATGCTTGGGTCATGATTTATGAATTTTTTACGTGTTTTCCAGAAAAATCCCAAAACATAAACTTAAATATCTCTTTAAAATTAACCAACCACACTTTTTTGACGTAGGATTACGTCTTTCGGTAACATATTGGGGGTGCAGTTTCAAAAAACCAAAATCGACCGCGTTGCGAAAAGTAGTCAGGTTTTAACCGCTCTGTCAATAGTGGATGGATTTTAATTCTAAACAAGCTTTCCCTAACACAGATTTCAAAATCGAATTCCAGCCGGTCTCGCCGAACGGTGCTTATTCAATCATGTGTGATTGTGTCCGGTCGGTCATCATCGGCAGCAGCAGCAGCAGTTCTTTCTGCGAGTGGCGTTGAACATTGTTCTCCAGTACACAACGAAAGGTTCACCGCAAGCAGCGAGCTGCAACCCACATGAGCGGCCATTCACCGAAGAAGGAAGCCACACCGCTACTGATCGGATTCAGTAGCTCTTCGTGAGTCGCTGTGGGATATCTATAGTATGCCAAGCTCGTCACCCTCGTTCCAAACAATATACAGAACGCCAGCCTCATCTGTGTTGAACACCCTAATAGCTCAGCATTACTCAACCATCACGACAAAATGGTTTTTTTGAGGACCACCATAAATTTGTTAAAGACTATTTTCTGGACATTTGTCAAGGTCATCAATCGGATGTCAGTTCCCATGAATTTAAATCTAACATACCATGTATTTTTAAGGCAACATTGGGGATGCAATTTCAAACACCAAAGTCAGTTGCGGCATGAAAGTGGTCTGATTTTGATCCAGAGATGATGGATTTTAATTCTTATTGGCTTCGATAGGAAATATTTCTACCAATCTGTTAAAATTAAGACTATATCAATTCTAGATAGATCTGGAATTAGGGCGTAACAGCTTTTGTAAACAATGACTTCTATCGACGATTTCTTGGAACTCAAGGCACGCAAACCAACATAACCGTCGGGTAGGGGAAGCCTTCCTCTACCCGATGGTGTTGTTGATTTGCGTTGGTGAGCCTTAACTTTCTAGCAATCATCGAAAGAAGCCATTGTTTACAAAAGCTTTTACGCCCTAATTCCAGCTCTATCTAGACTTGTCAAAAGGCTACTATTGAAAATTGCACGAATGCTATGACAATTAAAATTATCACCGATTGCCTGCAAAAAGCGTTTTCCCTAACACAGCTTTCAAAATCGAATTCCATCCGTGTTTATTCAATCACCGCCTGTGGTGAGTGGTGGTGTGTGATCGTCATTAGCAGCAGCAGCAGCAGCAGCAGCAGCAGCAGCAGCAGTAGTGCTTCCGGTGCGTGGCGTTGTACATTTTTCTCCAGAACACAACGAAAGGCTCCCCGCAAGTAGCTAGCTATCAAGGTTGCCCACAAGAGCCCTCGATTCACCGAAGGAGGAACCGAACTGCTACTGATCGGATTCAGTAGCTCGTCATGAGCCGCTGTGGGATACCTATGCCAATCGCATCACCCTTACTCCAAACATCATACATCTCGCCAGCCTCATCCATGTTGAACGCCCTAATAGCTCAGCATTACTCAACCATCACGACAAAACGGTTCTTTTCAGTACCACCATTAATTATTGTTGTTTAACAGTTAATTTTCGTTGAACGTTCACTCGCCTTGCTGTCAGCCACATCACCCCTAAGTCTATTTGATAAAGTACCCAGCAACCAAACGTTCGTGGTCAAATGCGTAACAGTATTGAAGTGGTATACAAACATTCTCGCAATGACCCAATACCACGTGACCTTATCAATTAACCCGAAACACTTCGAATTAAGGCAGGGTTTTCTCCAGAACGCTAGGAAAAAGCAACAAAATTCTCGAATTGATATTATTGATCGCAAAGATCTCGCGTTTGGAAAACTTTAGCGAGAAATTCCACCATTTAATTTTTGCTTTGTATAAACCAAAAATTCCGTTTTATGCTCGAAAATGCGTAATTGTTTCATCAGAAAACGAGGCGTTTCAGTGATGGAAACAAGAGGTTTCCCTAACACAGTCGCGAAATATTGATACCGAGCACGTAATCCTACGTCAAATCTACGGTCTTGGATGCAACACCTTGCTAGGGACGAACCAGCCCAGGGCTGAAAGGCACCCTAATAAAGATATGAAAAAAACCCCTTACTTTTTAAATTGTTTTCGTTCATATAACACTCTACCTGTGGGAAAAATTGCATACAGTTTTAAGACCCTTCGGCCCATTTTGCCCGATAATATAAAAAATACCCTCATCAAAAATGCTAACTTCTCAGACATTTTCAAAAAGGTCAGATCGAATTGAAACCCCAAAATAGGAGACTGTCAGAAAATGGTAAAGATTGATGAACGTTTAGATGTCGTGTTAATGGTTTGATGGTGGTATTTTATTATGTAAATGCATGAAACACAGAACTGTTGTTGTGGAACAAACTATTTCCACCTTTTTTATTACAGTCACAGCGGCAGTTTTCAAAACTGCTATAAATTACCCTTCAATAACGAGTTTTGGAGAAAATGGGGAAGAATAGGCTATCTCTTTAGTTTGCGCATTATGAAATCATCCACTGCATTTTATAGCTGTAGATAATCGGCAGCTAGGAAGAAACGGGCAAAATGGGGCATTTTTGGTTGTCTGCGCAAGATAAAACCAGCGGCATTCTATGCACTGCATTTTTTTTACACAAGAACAGGTATCTCACACCTCTTCAAACCTGCGGCATGAAAAAAGTACGACTCATGATCAGGTTTTTGCCCACTGTGCGATATTAAATAGGGGAAATGGCTCTAATGTTGACCTATGGATCTAAGATTGGGCCCATCGCTAAAAATCTGCTATTTATCAATTGTTCAATTGTATCTAGATGAACGCGTCATTGGGACGGTACTAATGGTTATTTTTGGTTGGTATTGAAAATTTAGTCGATTGCTGAATTTATGTATGGGCTAAAATTAGGGACACTTAGGTCGACATTACATACATTTCCCCTATGTAGAATTTTTTAATAAGAACTGTTTAAGTTATAAAACAGATATCATAAATTATCAGTTACTTTATCATTTTTCGTTGCAACCGTATTGTTTATTCAGGAAATGTATAGATTATAACACAAGTGGCGGCGGTGGTGTATTGGTAAGCGTAAGCAGGCCTGGGTTCAATTCCAGTCGGTGCCGCCGGGATCTTCTGAGGCATAACATCTCTGATCACGCCTTCCTTCGGAAGGGAATTAAAGCCATTGGTCCCCGGTTCATGAGTTGATGGGTCGATAGGTAGGGTCCAGGTGTGGGAACTGCCTCCCTGGCGTCGGTAGCATTGGCACGGAAAACAAGATTGATGGAAAACAAATCAAGGAAAAAATTTATCAGAGATGTTATGCAACAGAACATCCCGGCGGCGCCGACTGGGATTGAACCCAGGCCTGCTGGGGTGAGAGATAATCACGCTTACCACTACACCACCGACGCCGCTTATACATATTAGTTAGAATGATATTTATCTCATGTTTTTCTTTTCTGCACTTATTTATTTCTAAAGCTCAAACGTGTTAGCTTTACGGAGCCAACAAATTAAGTGTTTTTCGTTCAACATTAAAAAAAGGTCATGAATGAGTTCATTTCTTCCTGGGAGGTGACTGTTTGCTGCTTGCTTTTTCCCGTGCCTGCAACTTTTTTCGTTCTACTGTTTGCTTCTCTTGAACCCAAGGCTGCTGATCAAACAGCTACTTTGTCACCAAGTACGTCGAGTCATTACGGTAACCGATTTGCTGTTGAACCAGTTTTTCACTTTCTTGTTCTTCATCTCTGATTTATACGGATTCCGGGGTCATCTCGTCGATAGCCATCACTTCTTCATCGACCACCTCAAATGCTTTCGCTGTGTTTCCTCCAGCTACCACACCTGAGTACGAATTAGTTTAAAAGCTGCTAATCTTCATCCTGGTCGTGCTTCTCTTCGTCCATCCGTTCTTCGACCAATTGTTGTTTCTCTGACCGTTTCCGAGGCACTAAATTAGATACGTGGCAAGCTTAGTTTTGAAATGTTTTCTCAAAGGCTGCTTGAAGGTACTGATTACTGAGACTTGGACAGATTTTCAACGTTGACAGCAGAACATTCAATAGTTTACTTCCGGAACACACTAATTTCCTGCGACCAAACTCCGTATATCGTCTTGCTAATGCATGATTACCCACCTGTCTCAACGCTCGGTTGAGTACTACTTTCCTTAGCTGCATATTATGGTCAGAGAATTGAAATCAACGATTCAGATAAAGATAATGTCAGTTAACTTAGTTGTCTTTAAATTATCGACCGATAAATTATCAGATTATCAGATAAAGATAATGTCAGTCGAAGTTAGTTGTACCCAAAAGTAGGTAAATATGAATATACTCAACGTTGGGTTCCCACACTTTACTACCCCTGTTGGGTGGTTTTGCTCCTCCGTTTTTGAACACATTCGAAGGAAAAAAGGAGACAAACTAGTCTAAAGCCGTTGGGTACTTTTTTCTTACCGTGTATAGAGATTGAAAACCGATTTCAGAAAAAAAAAAACTGTCAAATACCCTGCAATCTGGGTATTTTCGGAACATGAATGCCATGCAGATGTAGACAATTGATGTCTGCCGTAATTTTGGAATCCAAGATGGCAGCTATTGGTTTTTTTAAAACAAACTGTACTCAACAATAAAATATTTGTGTAACGGGGATGATGTGTAGATGTTAGAAATCGATGTCCTTTGCCATTTTTAAATCCAATATAGCGGCCATTGATATCATAAAAACTGTCAAATACCATATAACATGGGTAATTTTTGCCATTTTGACTAGTTTATTTACAGTTTTCTCTAAATCGAATGAACGCCACCTTGGATTCCAAAATGGCGGTAGACATCGAATTTAGACATCTACTCGTCCTCCCGGTTCCAAAAATATCTGTAATGTAAGGTCTTTACAGTTTTTATGAAATCAATGCCTGCCATATTGGATTCCGAAATGACGGCACACATCGATTTTAGGCCTATACACGCCATCCATGTTCGAAAAAAACCCATATTGAATGTTTGACAGGTGGCGGATAATGATTTTTGACATCTACGTGTCATCCAGAATCCAAAACTATTCATATTGTACGGTATTTGGCCAACAAAACAACTTTTCCGAAGACTGCAAGTTCCAAGATTTCAAGATGCATTACGCAGTGATTGTTATCATATCAGTGTATTGTCGTTTTTGTTGCTAATCATGATGTGAAACACAAATGATAATTCATGATCTCACATGTACACTGATCAGGATTCCGTTTACTAGTGTTTTTATCGTCGGTAAGCATAGGGAAGATAGGATTTTCTTGATTCCCTGATTATGGTGTGTAGCAGCACCAATGAGGGCTTACAGACTTGCATGAGTATTTACAATTTATGAAGTGCTCGAATCGAAAGATCCAAATCGTTGCATTCTTTATAGAGGTTTCC